TTAAAAACCTTTAAACAATTAATTAAAAACACTTAAGCATACATAAACAACTAAAATACAATAAAATAAAATAATTAATTGCCAATTATATCCTTTTGAAACTAGGGATATTTCAGTTTTCGACCTTTCTATAATTCATATAGTGTCACATTAGTTTTCTTTTGAGGTATTTTATTGAGAACATAAGCTTTCCCCCACAAATTCTGAGTTAAAGCAGAACTTATTAATATAGCATTCATCATTTCTTCGTGAATGATACAATGTTCTGAATAAATATCAGCACACGGTGTTTTGTATTCACCACCTCTATCAGTTCTCAACACGTTGATCTTTTTGCTAAGTTGATTCTCAACCTCATTGTTGTAATGATTAAATATTTCTAAGGTTTCATCTTTAATTCGTAACAAATATATATAATAGTATCTTGTGCAATCATTGATAAAAGTAACGAAATGCATTTTTGCACCTCTAGTTGGCACAAATTTATGATAATGTAATATATTACATAATACCATATTACAAAATTAAGATAATTCAACCAATATTGAATTATATAAATAATTCAATAATATACTTATATAGCATGTTTCAAGTTCTTGAACACTTATATTTAGCATATTATCATATAATAATGTATATAACATTATTTTATTATATCTCAATTATTAGTATAATCTCTACTTGTTTATATCTTAAATAGAAGCATGTAATAAAATCTACGCAAGGAACAAAATGTCTTAAGATTGTAGGAAAATATATGATTTATGTGACATTTAAGATATAACAACCCTTATACTAATATGTTATGAGATAATTAACAATATGCTAAGAAATGATTAATTAAATATGCAACTATATATTTAATTAAATATGCAAATTAAAGCAATAAAATAATAATAATAATAAATAAAGAATCTGGACAGAGGCTAGTATTGGATACTATATTCTTAAGACAATTTACGTCCCTCATGGTGTTGACGGACTCTGTGGCGCTTGTCTCCCATGATATAACGGTCTACATCCACCAGTAGAAGCACTACAAACTCGTAGATACGATGAACCTCCTCCGTGTAATATTCTCTTTGACTTAAGAAAGCATCTATACTATATAAATGCTAAATTGGATGCAATCCGAACCAAATGGTTCGAACCAATATTAATGCGGTTCAATGAAATTGGATTAGGGTCTAAGTGGCTAGGACCACTTGACCTATGGTTTGAGCCCACTTGGGTTGGGTTCAAGTCTAGAGAGGGAGAGAGAAGAAATTGAATTGAATGAATTGCAAATGGCAGCCCAAGGGGTATTTATAGAAATAGAAGTGCCTTTTTGGATTGGGAGTGTCTCTTCATCAATGGACACAACCATTTATATGTATCTCTTTATCACTGGACACAACCATTTATATGTGTATCTTTATTACTGGATACAACCATTTATATGTGTCTCTTCATCACCGGGCACAACCACTCCAATTTGTTGTAATGGTTCACACGGTGTTTGTTCACCACTAGACACATCCACTCCAATAGATTATGTTTGTTTGTTTTAAGTTGTATCTTTTCATCCCATAACCAACCAGTAATCACACCTGCTCAGTTAAAGACATCTATTGATGACTAATCAAATAATTTTCATTCATAATTTCTAACAATTTTGACTGTTGATGTTCTCAAATTAAGAGTTTTTTTTTAATTAAAAAAGTCGTCGTCAAACACACACACACACATATATATTTTGTGATACAATGTTTTCAAAGATTTGAACATCTAAACATTATTTTTTTTTTCTTTTTTAAAATAAGATATCACTGGTCACATGTCACCATTATTAAATTGAAATTTTGGAAAAAATTTTTATTATTCATGTTCAAAGTAACTTTCCTATTTTTCTTACTCCTATATATATATAACTAATGTCATTTGAATCAAATCCTTAATACACTTGATTCATGTATCTAACTACACCTATCTCTCTCTCCATATATATATATATTCCAGATGTGTGTTTTTCAAGTATATCATTTGGCAACTGTTTTGCCCGTTGGTTTTGATCAATCTATTCATGGATGTTTGGACCCACTGGTTTTCTTGACATTGGCTAGCAAAATGTAATGTATATAGCAAAAGAAGACGTGACAATCATCGATGCATATTCGAAAAGGAGATGGCTTTCTTGACATTGGCTAGCAAACTATAAATGGAACTTAATTTTAAACAGCAAGAGCTTCTTGCTTCAATTTTATGGTATACAGCAAAAGAAGATGTGACAACCATAGATGCATACATGGACACACTCGAAACAAAAAACAAATCTAGGATCCCACGATTCAAGAGGCTCCCAAGTAAAATTAAAAAAAATGCAAATGCATATCATATATATATATATATATATATATATATGTATATATATTGCATAAATGCAGCAAGCTAATCACACTCTTCAAATGTGTGACTTCAGAACCACAGTCTAAATAGGTTACGGATGGGTCTTCGACTCTTTGGTGGTTAGCTAAAGAGATACTAGATTTGGTGCATTCAGATGGCCCCTAGTGAAAATTAATATTGTATGAACTACTTCTAAAAAGTAAACTACGTGCCATCACAAAAACAGGCAGCTACTTTCAAGTGTTCATCACTTCTTAGGCACACTTTCTATCATTAGCTCTTGCTTCACTTCGTTTCCTCCTGCAATTAATGAACATCCATGCGATGGTTATAAAAATAAGTAGAAAATGCATTGAACAGACCTAAATGCATTGCTATTAGTAGACAAACCTCCAGATCCCAATTCCATACATATGCGTAGCTTATCTATCTCGCAGAAGAGCTTTTTGAAGTCTATATTGCCCTTTAATTTTCATGGCTTTTGCCAAGGCGTGTAATTGAGGCAATTCCAATTTATCCAAATCTACATCTCCATAATCCAGTTTAGGATCCTTCCTCTTGGAACCAATTGCGGAATTGGAAGCATGTCCAAGTTGTTCAATGCAAGAGAAGATTAGACTACAAAAGAAAATTTTGAGAGCCTGACTATCATTACAAATATAAAAAGAGAATAAAAATCAAATTAGAATAAAAATCAAATTCCTAAATAAAAGACTAGCCAATAATGAAGACCCATCGAGTCAACTTATAGATATGAGTTCCCTGCGTCTACCTATCTGAGATCCCTAATGGAACAACCATCCATCTCAAATTCAATTCTCTGGCTATTTGACTCTTCCTTTAAACAAACTGGCATTGATTGGAACATATTTCCTTATCTAGATCTCATTCTCTTTCCATGAAAGAAATGAGCCTATGCCTCGTCACTACCTTCTTGTAGTTGAGTTTCTTCTACTCTATTTCAAGAATGAATGGAGCAAGAGAGCATCTCGATACCAATGAGGTGCGGAAAGGATTTCTCTGGACTACTTTCCTTAAATAGATTGATTTCTTCATCAATCTCATTGTTTCACTCAAACACATATGTTGCTGGGATGAGCCATGTATTCCTCTGGGTTCATTTGGTGGTAAACACTCCCCCTCAAGCTGTAGGGAAGATATTAACCAAGCTCAGATTGACTATATCAAGACGTGAAACGACCGTATTCTTTTCACAATAAGATTGCAATGCTACCAAACACACCGACATCCCAAATAAGGCAATAAATACTGTTGAAGATATGGAAACGGCGAACACCATGACTATATCGGCAGCCCAACAAAGCAAAGAACGATGCTACCGAACATACCAGCAGCCCAACAAGGCAAAGAACGATGCTACCGAACATACCGGCAGCCCAACAAGGCAATGGACAATGCTGTCGAACACACCGGCAGCCTAAACAAGGCAAAAATAGCACCGAGAGACCAAATAAGGGGTCTTAACCTAGCAGGAGAACCTCCCTACACGTGAGCGATCCATCCGAGAGATGAAAAAGATCCGAAACAAAGCTGGAAATAACAATGCCAGGAAAAAGGCCGTGCAATATTCTCTTGGGCCAAAACAGAGAGCTCCAACAAAAGAGAGACCTTAAACAATCCAAAACAAGAGAGCTCCAACAAAATCAAATGATGAAGAAATCTGAAAAATGAAGCGACGATGATGGACCGCAGTTGGAGATGAGGCTTATGCCGCCATCTCCGACGGTAGTTCTGATACCAAAAAGAAATCTGAAAAATAGAGCCGGACTATCATTATATAGTAGAGGAAAATTACAAACATGAAAAGAGAATAAAAATCAAATCAGAATAAAACTCAAATACAATAAAGACCAACTTATAAATATGATTTCCAACATCTACCAATTTACCCAAACATATACATATATATTAGGTCACAATCTAAACAAGGAAAGGGAGGGTGAATATTTAAGGATTTGATATTTACAGAGTAGAGACTGCATGTACTTAACAGTAGACTCGTTTATTTTGACTTCCTCCTTCCCATCAATCACGCTCAATTCTACTTTCTCGTTTATTTTGACTTCTTTCTTCCCATCAATCATGATCAATTCAACTTTCTCGCTGCAATTCAATCAACACAGAATAATTATAAACACGTATGCTTCAGAAATTTCTTAGAACATTCACTATTTCATGCTTCATGCACTGTTTCTCTATGCATCAGTAAAGTAACACCAAAGTCGTCCATATCTTACCTGATTTCATTTTTCAGGCTTTGAATTGAAGTGACAAGGTAATCAATAGCTTCTGTCGATGGAGAAGAGCATATTTTAGACAATTGTTCACCAACCATTGCTAGTTGGTTTCGAAGGAATTGCAGATCTTTTTCAAGTTCAACAATTTCTGAATCTGCTTTAGTTATCAACTTGCTTAACACTTGCACACAAAGTTTTTCATTGAAAGCGTCTTCTTCCATGGCATCTACATCGTAAAAATGAGTATTTAAAATATGTAATTGTTCTTAACCAATAAGGATGGATTTTATAACTTACTAAAGTAAAAGTCGGATTCCCATCCTTGTCCCATATTGAATACTTTGTTCCATCATATTAGAGCATGAATCTGAATATATAGGATACGTAATTGTAGATTAATAATTACAATTTTTTTTTTTTTTTTTTGTTTGAAAGTTGAAATTGTAATAAGTACAATGTTCTTAACCAATAAGGATGAAGATTGTATCAAATCAGTAACAATGAACTTTATTTCCCCTGATAAGATAGTCAAAGAGAGTAACTGGCAAAAATTTTAATATAATAAATTAATTAGATAATAGATGAAAAACCTTGATCCCACGATAAATCCCAGAGCGAGCCCCCCATTATCTGACTTAATTTTGCCTGAAGTGCATGTTAACCTTGAGGACGATGAAGCTGTGAAGAAGATGAACCTCACAGTCACCGATAAGATGCTTACTCAGGCTTCCTATTTAATGCTCTCAGATGTACACACAGAAAACTTCGGCAAGGAAACCACCGACCGGGTGCTTCGCGAGGCCAGCCGCGGTTGGTTCAGCTCATGGATTCCTTGGTTCTAGGTTTACCATCTATCTATCTATCTATCTATATTAGGGTTTAGGTTCTTTAGTAGTAGAGAAGGGGGAACAGGTATGTTTTGTTGGTTGGTTGGTTTAAATACTTTAGTCCATATTAGGGTTTATGTTGGCGGTACTTATTAACTACTCTCTTCATCATTTTGTTTTCTCCAATCCTTTATCTATTATGTGATTTGTGCTTTTGATTAATTGGTATTTTATTTTTCTTTTTCTTTGTTGGTCCTGAATTGATGAAATTTGGGCAAAGAAAGGTTTATGGTGGTAGTAGCATGACAATTGCTTGATAAATGCCTATTAGGGGAATCTCTCTGCAGGCGTCAGGTGGCTTAATTTGATGCATTCTGTGAAAAAATGGTAATTCGAGTTTAATAGGAATGATTTAATTTTCTAACGTTAATCTCCAGCTCAAGCTAGCATGATATTTTATTTATTTATTTATTCATATTTTTTGGATTGGTAAAGCAAATTTATTAAAAAAGAGGAATATACAGGGGAATAGACCTATAAAGCTAGCATGATATCTTGCTTTTGTTGGTATACTATCAATGTATCTGTTGCTTGATTCACTCTCAAGCCCTTGTTGCTTCGGGCAGTTCATGTCAAACTAGTTGTTGCCTAAGATATTCTTAGGAATGCTTTAAACTTGGTTTGCAGATCCCTTGGCCTGTTATCATTCTAATACAGTTTTGTATAATTCTCTAGTGGGTCTTTGGTGTTCTGTGAGGAAACCAGTTGATACTCAATAGGCTGGAGCTTTAAAATCTTAAAATCTGCTGCATTGTGACTCTCACCATCTGGATAAGATGGTGGAAGCTGGGTCACTAAAAGGCAGATTATTATTCCCTTAAATTTTATAGATCGGACTACGTTAAAATGGGGACAATGTTTGGTTTGACATATAGAGTAGTATCCCTTATCTTACTTCAATCTCCATAGGCTGAATTGATGAAACAATTAACGATAAAGGGTAGCCACTTCACTTGCATTAGTGTTGGAATGGCTAAGAATATGTGGATGTAATTGCAAGATATGTGATCAATCCTATGGAGAAGGAAGGCAAGCTGAATTGAATACTTGTTCCTTCCAAGTTTCTATTCAAACAATTGGTTTGTGTGTGTGTGTGTATTTTGAATCTAAGTTTCTCAATTTTTTATTTTTATTTTTATTTGACTTTAAGTAACCCGCGAACCATTTCTTTTTCTCCCAAACTCAAATGCCATTCTTCTCTCTCTCGAAACGCAACTGCGAAGCTTCCTCTCTCTCCTCTTCACATTCAAGGGAAGGCTCAACACATATTCTCGATTCAATTCGTTCTTCATTTTTGCCTCTTTTGGTATCTTAGGTTGCTATTATCTGTGCTTATATTTGATTATCATAAGAAGTCATTCTATCCCGATATCAGATACCATATCTAATCCCTCAACTCTAAGAGAAAACACTTGAGTTCGTTTCCCATGGCTTCTAGGAAGAATCCATCTAGGACAGCAAGAGGCTTAGAAAAACGCACTAAGCGTACTCATGACCATGATGCCGAAGGATCTGAGCCACCCAATCCTGAACAGCCCGAACCCTATCCTACCCCAGCCATGCGTCTCTTCAAGAAACCACACTTCAAAGAGACATCCTATGAAACTAAACTCATCCATAAGGTAGTTGCAAAAAGCAAATTCTTCGATAGCAATGAAAGTGAAGAATTAATTCAGCACACTTACTCTCTATTTGATGCTATTGGCTTGGGTGGATTTCTATCACTCAAAGTTCCTTATTATCCCAAGCTTGTGAGACTATTCTATGCTCATCTCGAGAGAATTCTAGGGTAAAACACCTTCAATTCCTTCATCGTAGGCACTAGCATTAACCTTACCTTGTTTGATATTCACCGTATTCTCAAAATACCTCAAGGTGATATCACTTACTATACTGCCTGTGATTGGTATAATGGGGAAGGGTTTGACGAGCTACAAGCGGTTTAACAAATGAGCCAATTTCCTACCGAAAACACTGATAAGATATTTGCTAGTAAGTTAACTGTGCAAACTCGCCTCATTTACCATGTTATCATACATACCATCCTTCCAAAATCTGGCGGATGCTCAGATGTGTCCTATATGGAAGCTTTTCTGATTTGGTGTGTCCTAAATGGGAAAAAGTTTGACCTCGCCTTCCTCATATTTCACCACATGCATGATTGCGCCAAAAAGCAAAAAAACTCAGCTATTCTATGCCATGGCTCTCACCATGATATTCAGAGCCAACAAAGTACAGCTAGCAGGAGAGGATGAAAAAGAACTAACTAATCTCTATCGGGTTGACAAAGAGTTGCTTGGCCGAATGGGTCTTAAAAAATCTGATGACAACACTTGGTATGACTTTAAATTTGGTGATCCGGCAAATGTGGGCCAAAAAATTGTTGTTGTGGCAGAGCAACAAGAAGAAGGTGTAGAGGTAGGTGGTGAAGAAAAAGAAGAAGGAGAAGAGGTGGAAGGAGAAGAAGCAACTAATGCTCCTCCAGCTCCTTCATCAGATGAAAGCTCTCTTCGTGAGCTCTTATTAGAGAGTATTGCTCTTTCCAAAGAGCAAATTGAACTTGGTAAAGAAAACAGGGAACACATTCTAGCTCTGTGCGAACGAGTTAAAGAAGTAGCAAATGAAGTCGACCTTGAAAAGCGTGACCTTGCTGACCTCCGAGCTACTGGACTCCCTCATTTCTTATTTATCATTTGATATGCTCCCCCACCCCCACATCCACCTTTTTGATTGATGACAAAGGGGGAGAAAGGATGATGTAGTGATGTAGTTATAATTGTAGTTATGGATAGTTGATGATGGTAGTTGTAGTTAATGATGAGATGGAAGTTAAAGTTGATGATGAGTCCTTGGTGCTATCATTGTTATTAAAGGTGCGCCTGGGCGCGCGCCAGGCTCCAGGCGCCTACAGGCGCATGAAAGGCGCCTCATAATAGCCCAGGCGCAGCGACCTTCATTAGGCGCGCGCCTGGGACGCACCTCATGCTTTTATTCAGGCGCGCCTGATCACTTATCCATTTGTTATTCAGCTTTTTTCATGTGCTGTTCGTTTTTCCATGTGTTGTTTAGCTTTTTCTATGTGCTGTAAATTTGTCTTGTGCAATAAAAGAATAAAATAAAGAAAAGCAATATAGAAACGTGAGATAGTGGAACAAGCAAAGGAAGACCAAAAGCAGAGAAAGAAAGAAAAAGGGTGCAGTTTGTTATAGTAGTCAATTTTGTCTTCTTGTGCAATAAAAGAATTCTGTTCAGCACACATGTGCTGGAATAAAAATAAGCTTTTGTAAATTTGTCTTCTTGTGCAATAAAAGAATAAAATAAAGAAAAGAAATGCAATGATCAAATAAAAATGGATACAAAGAAACGTGAGAGAGTGGAACAAATAAAGAAAGACCAAAAAGAGAAAGAAAGAAAGAAAGGGGGGTAGTTTGTTGCAATGAACTTTGTCTTCTTGTGCAATAAAAGAATAAAATAAATTTACCATTCCTGCTTTTTTTTTTAATTCTATTCTGTTTTTTTCTTCTTCCCTTAAGATTGTTTGGTTTTATGACTCAAAACTGAAACTAAGTCTCTTCTATTTGCTGTTTTTCTTAATGGAGCTTTATTGTTTTAATTGTGCTATTTTGCCGATTGCTTTATTGATTTAATTGTGATATATTTAGTATTTTTATTACTGGATGTTTATTGTTTAATTGTGTTCTTTTTGCTAAGAATTATTGTTTTAAATTTTTACTTGTGCGCCTCACATCACTCGGGCGTGCGCCTCGCCATGCGCCTCGCGCCTAGGCTCCAAAGGAACTCTAGCTCCTCAGTGCGCCTAACGCCTTTAATAACTATGGGTGCTATATGTCTTTATGTATCTATGACTATGCTTTATGAGAAATTTTTTTTTGTTATTTTGCTTATGCTGAGATATGACATTAGTGATTCATTATTCTAATGAAATGGATGGTTTGAACTCGTATCAATCATGTGTGGAATTTCAAAGTTAATGAAATATGTGCTTTGAATATGCTATCTTAACCTTGCTTATAATGATGCACAAGGAAAGGGAGAGATTTGTAATCTCTTACACGTATGATTTCATTTTAAAAAACTATGCACATTGATAGAGGGACCACAGCTCATACCTTTACTCTTATTTATCGAACACATCAATGAATTGTCATCATCAAAAATGGGGAGATTGTTGACCTTGAATCTAAGGCTTTTGATGATTATAATTCATTAATGATGTTCTATGTGTTCTAATGTCTACCTTGAGCAAAATTACAGATCTAAGCACTCATCAAGTCAAGACATCACATGTAAAGCACAAATGAAAAGAGGCATCAAGAAGATACGTGAAAAGATCGCACAGGAATCAAGATCTAAAAGGAAGTTATCAAGATCAGTCAAGCAATTAAACGATCATGCAAATACCAATGAAAAAGGGGTAGCTAAGTTGGTGAGTGAATAGGACCCTTTGTCAAAGCATGTATGAACATTTTGAAGCTCATATATCTAGGATCATGCACAAAATCCCATTCATCAATATCAAGGAACTTTAGACAAAGTATAAATATCATCAAAACATGTTCCTAAAACTGAAGTTCCATTTCGGTCAACCGAAAACCGAAATGGAATAACAATTTGAATCGGACAACCATATATTTTGGGCAATGGCTTAGCAACAAGATCACATGGCTATTTCGGACGACCAAAATAGAATGACTATATGAATCGGTCGACTGATTCTTACAGTAGCTTTGCTAAAAGACCCCAGAATATTTTGGACGACCGAAATAAAAGCCTAATCCATTTCGGCCGACCGAAGTAAAAAGATAAAAGTCAGCCTCAAGTCATTTCGGACGATCGAAACAAAATGGTGTCTCATTTTGGTCAACCGAACCTGCGTAGATTCAAATTTGAACGGCTATTTTACCTCGAAGTGTGTGTCCAACAGTTAGAATACAGATCAGATACGTCTGAAACTCTATATAATGAATTGTTTGCTTCATAAAAAAGCATTGCAACCACTGAGAATCATATCTATGCAATCATAGAGCCTTCGTACCATCATTCACACATTTCATATCTTTAAAGAGTATTGAGCTTCAATCTATTCATACATACTCTAGAGTGAGCTGAAATTTGTACTACAGATCTGAGAGAGATTATTGTGTACTTCATTTATCTTCTTTAAACTTTGTAAAGGCTGGTGTGGCCCAAGGAAGACTAAGAAAAGGTGTTTCTTAGCAATTTGAAGCAAGGAACTGCTTCTTGTAAAAGGTTTGCTCTCCACCCGTAAGGAGAAGCCATAGTGGATTTAGAAGTCTCAAGAGAGGTCTTGAGCCAAGGAGTTGGAGTTTCCGAGCCTCGCTAAAATCGTTGAGAACTTGTTTGCAATCTCTCTCTTTATCTCTTACATTTATTGCTTTAAGTTTAGTATGATTGATTTCTTGATAAATGTTGTTAGTTAAGGTTTAAAAGTCAGATTGCTTTATTAAACATTTGCTGAGAAAGTTAGCTTAGTACTTGCATATTAATTGAAATTAAAAATTGACTCCCCCCCCCCCCTGTGAGAGCATGATCGTGATACTGTGAGAGCATGAAAAAGCTCTTATTTTGAAGTTGAAAGTTTATTCTGACCGAGCTGCTTCTTATAGACTAAGGGAGTTTCCCTTAGCTGTTGATTCTTATGTTGTTTTTTTTGTTACTTGGTTACATCTGTTATATGATGAGTAGCAACCTTACACTTTTGGCTACGTATAATGCATATCCTGTTTCGTCAAGCTATCCTCTCTGGTACACCTCTGGGCGGTAGTTCAATTGGCTAGGTTCTTAGAAATTAAGAGAAGACGGGGCAGAGATGATCCTTTACGCTAACAATGATTGTTAAAGAGAATTAATGTAATGAATTAAGAAAACACATTGTATACATACTAATTCATAAACAAAGCGAATAAAATTCCTATTTTCAAATAGGAGGGGAAGGGTATGAGTCAGGGTATGAGCACAAAAAATATGTGTCAGGATATATATATATATCTAATACACAGAGAGGGAGACACGCATCTGAAAAAGGGAAAAATGGATAGAGGCCGAGAGAGAGTGTCAGAAGAAACCGACATGTGCTGTTTGTGAAGGCAATTAATGGTTTGAAATGTAAGAAAATGTTGAATGATTCCGTTCCGAGGGGGTTTGTCGAATTTCATATAAACCCCAAGGATGAAGCCGCTCTGGAAAAGATGAAGCTCAAATGAAAGATGTTGATTCAGGCCTCGTCTCTGTTTATAGCCTCTTTGCACACCCGTTCATTCAGCAAGGAAGCCACCAACCGGGTGCTGCAGAACGAAGAAGCTCTGAAGAAGGTGAATCTCAGTGAAAAGAGGATGAGAGAGGCGTCGTGTATCATGGTAAAGAATATCGATGCCTATGTCACTGGCATTGTACATTCCATTGGCAAAGGCAGCCGTGGTTCGTCCTGCTAATGGATTCCTAGGTTCTACTTTTACCATCTATCTATCAGCTGTATGTTAGGTTTTATGCTTACTTTATTCTATATTAGTGTAATGATGGTGGTACAATCATTTTGGTATATAGCATCATCTATTTATTATGTGATCTATGCTTTTGATTAATTGTATCTTTGTTGGTCCTGGATTAATGAATTTGGGCAAAGATAGGTTTATTGTGTTAGTAGCATGACAATTGTTTGATAAAATGCCTAGTAGGGCAGGTGGTTTTGATGCATTCTGTGAACAATGGTAATCTGTGCTCACTTGGAGGGGCTTGAGCAAATATTAATGTGTATTGAAATTATGAATGTGTTGGTGTGAAGGATACAAGTTGAATATCCTCTTGAACAAAAAGAGTTCCTTATTCTAATATACCATTTGATTTAGGATGTGACATTTCCTGTTCTTTTGTTTTTCAGGCTTTGATTTTAAGGTCATGGTACAGTTGTTGTGATTGTGATGGTTCGTAACTGGGAGATGATTGCAACAATAACACTTTAGAAACTATTTTTCAATCTTAGAACTCCCTAAGCTTTTTACTATTAAAAATATTTTTTATGTGTGCATTCATATGTGAATAATCTTATTTGCGTTCTTAGGAGTTGGGAATCATATTTAGTTAATTTAACATGTCAGAAAAATCATGAAATAATGGAAACTCTGCCGAAATTTTGTTAAAATTGGTTTAGACTCAACCTTATGCTAAAACCATGATTTTAATAAATTTGGTAGATTCTCCAATAATTTTAGGTTAATTTAATCATTAGGATCATGCACCTTTAGGTCGCATTCATTAGGCTAAGCTTTAGGACACTGCATTGTTGAGCCGAAATTTTGATAGAATCCGAAAATCAACAGTTCTGATTATTTTGCAAAAACACATTTTTCAAAAGGCTTTCTGGTATTTTAAATCAAAATATTCATAATATATTAAACTAATGTTGATAAGAATCCTCTAAAGTTAAGTTTGCTAAGAGCAGTGTATTGTGGCCCCATGGCAATACAGGAATGGCAGATTAGTCAGTGGTGGATACATATTTGGCCTGTTATATTGGTTATTGCTTGTGGGAGGAGGTTAGTATTCATGGGGATGGAGGCTTCTAGTAGGAGGTTTGAGGTTTAGCAATTTTTATAAGATGTTGATGGATATATTAGGACTTTCCCTACTTTCAGGCGTTAGGGTGCTGCAGGTTGGGAGGAGGTTGTATTGAGCTGGGGGTCAGAGGTGTGGTTGGTGATAGTGTGAGGAGCATGAAAAAGCCCTTATTTTGAAGTTGAAAGTTTATTCTGAGCTTCTTCTTATAGACTAGGGGAGTTTCCCTTAGCTTTTGTTTCTTATGGTGTTTTCAGCAGGTGTGACCGTATGAGGCCATTTACAGTTTTTAATTTCCTGATTTGTTGTTTTTCCTTCTCTATTATGTGGATACCTCACGTGTACCTGGGTTTTGCCGAGTGGATTGCTTTCTCTGTCCAAAATATATAAAGGTCAAATATTGACATCTTTGCTTGTTAGTCCTGCTACTAACAATTACACATCCATGTTGTTGAAGGACCTACTGATTGGAGCCCTTGAAACCTGTTCCCATCAATGCACTGCTTGCAGTTAAAGGAACGCCTCTGGAAGATCAGAAGGTAATTCTAATCTTTGTCAACAAAAAGTTCTTGCTCAACCAATTAGTCTAAATAAATTGAATTATGATTGTTAGCATTGGTAGTGTTTGAAACATATAAAGGAAAATATAATGGATTAAAAATTTTAAGCCCTAAAAAACTGTATTCAGTTGTCCATATTTTTATTGGTTTTTGGCAAATATTGTTAAATGGATAATTCTAGACACATATTCGTTGAGGTTTTAACTCTCACTCACCAAGTAGTACTCAAAGGCCAGACTAACTAACAGACCATTGAAAATAAACTACTTGCCCTTCCAATATCCATAATTGACCTGAAATCATACCGATTTATTTTTGTAGAAGCTAGATTGAGTGTTCTTTTCTGCCATCAGAACATTGATGGCTCAAAAAGTTCCTTTCACTTTGCCCAAAAGTGTGGGTACTAAATAGAATTCATGGTTATGGCTTTATTGCACAGCCAGTTGAAATATGGGAGATGATTTGGATGATTGCCACAGCCCGTATCGTGATGCCAAAAGCAATGATGTGGCTGTCAGCTGGCAGAGTTCGGTTCTCTTTGCCAAAGCAGGCATTGTGCTTTCTTGCAGGCGCAAATTCCATATTCACCGGCAAGAGGCTCCCGGACAACTACCAACAATGATTTTGATGCTGATCAACTCATGTTCAACGTGCTTGGACTTACTCCTAAACCCCTCCAGTTTTTCTGACAGCACAGAGGATTTTGAAACAGAAAATATAGAGCAAGCTGTTTCCAGTTCAGGTTGAGATTACCGTATCAAGGGTTTTTTTTTACTTTTTTTTTGGTTTGTTACCAAGATCATTTAATGTTATAAGTTATAACTATTGAATCTCTCTCTACTACATGCGCACAAATGCTCTGTTGTGTTTCTGCTCTCTGTGCGTACTTTGAACTTGGCTTTTCTTATTTACTGATAACTATAAGCCTGCCTTGTCTTGATGCCACATTTATTTTAGGGTTTCGTTACCCTGGTTGGCTATGAAATGTTTGCCATTCATTTTCTGTTTGTTTGCTTACCAGGCTTTTAGTTGTCGTATTGATCAGGAATCTAAGAAGAATATCAACTTGGGAATTCAAATTATATTGCAACTCCAGAAAACTCTTTTTATGTTCTCTTTTTTCTTTTTTTAGTTATTATTCATTGTTGCTGGATCGTGGGTGGATTTGGTGGGCACTGTAGGGAGAAGATGGATGGAAACAGTAAGACTTATATTATATGTAAAAAAAAACTTGCGCGGAGTTACCTTCTTAACGGGGAGCTGGCTCGGCTGGCACTAACATACGTGATCAATGGGGCACTATGTTTTTCGTGTACTTGTTCTTCCAAAATACTGACTGCAACAGCAGGTATTTTGTATAGAAGTTTGGAAAATCAAATGAACCCATCATACAATTTCATTGTGAAGTTGCTCAAATCTTAAGAAAAAACAATTGGGGCTATTAAAGATTTGCTGAGATTTTGTTGCATGATCTCCACATATGAGTGGCACCCAATATTGAAGCTCTGAGAGAAATAGGTATGTAACAATCGAATATTATATATGGCTCTCTTGACGAATCAACCTAGAGCTTAATTTCATGACTAGTACAGTAGTACTGATAGGTTTAAGGAGATTGTGGAGGAAGTAAAGAAAATGGGTTTTAAATAATGTGAAAATGGCATACACTGACAAAAAGTGATAACTTTCCATTTCACTTGTTTTTCTATTTCTTTCTTTTTTGTTTCACTTTTCTAATTTGAAAAGCCTGTTTACTAACGCTTTTACTTTCTGATTTTTACTGTCAATTCCTAAAATTGTGAAGTAAAAGTGAAAATTTTGTTTACTAATATAATTTTACTTTTCACCTTTAAGTATATTTGTATTTGAGTATATAAAATTTCATATATTCTTAACTTTAAGTTCTGATTAAGGACAAATTTGATCAAATGTAAATATATATATGTGTGTGTGTGTGTGTTTATGTGTGGACTGTTTGAAGTAATGTAATCTTCATGTGGTAGATATATACTTACAGGAATGAAATTCTTGTAGAGTTTCACTCAAAGAGGGATTCATTTGTGTATGTTGTTATATGGCAGTGGTTTAATAAAGGAAAGAGAAAGTGAGGATTTGTTACTTTCTCCACTATAGCATTATTTATCAAAAAAAAAAAAAAAACTCAAAAATTATAATCTCCAATCACTCCACGCTGCCTCCTCCCACCATGGCCACCACCCAAGGACGGATCCAGGATTTTCTCAATGGGGTGGGCTAAATCAAAATATATCCAAGTCTAAGTATAAAGTTACAAACATATATATGTGTGTAGATATGTATGATATACATAGTATCATATTAGATTAGTAAGTAAGTTATAAATATATAATATTAATTATTGTCTCTGTTTGTAACTTTGAGTGCATCAGAGCTTTTCATTTCATTGTTGTACACTTCTTAAATTCAATGCATGAAACAAGCCAAAAGCTCACAACCCTATCATTGGTTCACAGCTGTCGTACACTTTGTGCCCCCAACCATATATCTCTCTCTCTATACAAGTTCATATCTATAGAAGTCTCCCATGCCAATATTAGTCAAAACGCTCAGAGAACTTATTAAGTTTGGTAATTCTTATTGGTGGACTCTCTCTTCTTTGCTATTTCAGTTTCAACATTTTAGAAGCTATGTCAATGCTCAAACTGATAAAGTTAAATTAAAATTGCATAGTCTTTTTTTTCTTTTTTCACAGATAAAATTAGAGTTCAGATAGATAAAAAAGAAGAGAGCCCAAGTAGATGAATCATATTACACACTATTGTTTCAAAATTTCAGTAACTGAAAAATTGTGTGAAGTGACCAAAGATTCTTGTAACTAAAAGAATTAGACACTATGCTCAATAGTATGTCTTCAACTCTAAATTTCCTTCAATTCTAAATGTTTTGACTTAATTTGAATGCATCAACATATTATCACCATTATCAGTCGTCATCACTAGAGTCAACGTTGACATCAACATCCTCAAAATGTTAACATTAACATCCTCATCTAGAATCGTCATCTAGAATCACTTAATCCTCTTGCATAGATATGCATTTGATTAAAATAAATTGAAAAAAGACTTCCTATCATAATTGGTCATTTTAAAACCAACATCATTGCTACAACAGTAAGGGGATTTATATAATTCAATTGGCTAGGCAAAAAAAAACATACCTATTTTCTTTTTGCCAACTCCACCCATTCCCATCAACTCTCTTCTTTCATAAAAGAAACCTATATTATTAGAACAAAAGAGGAAAAGTTTTAAAAGCGTTAACAAATTTGTAAAACATATATTCTGAAATTGAAACCTAAACTTCCAAGTCTTTAATTTTCATTAATAAATTGTTCGACACACATCATAACAATATTATATATATGTATGTAGAAACGAAAACAAAAACAAAAAATCAGTATGTAAAACATAAATAAATAAACGTAACCAATAGCTAAAAATGCCAATTAAAATTTTAGAAAAAGTAAGAGTTTGTTACCTGATGACTGAGGAGACATGTTTGTTGAACCTTGTTCTTGTTAAATGTTAAGGCCCGATGCTAACCCTAAAAATAAGAAAACGCTCAAGTTGTGAGGAAGAGGTTTCACAATCTCACTCATAACAATTGAAACACCACCATCTAAGTACTATCTGTATCATAAATCAAATGTTGGGATTATATGCCCTACAAGCCAATTAATTAATATTAATTCGATATTTTATTTATAAATATGATATTCATGCATTGGGCTTTACATATATTTGCATAAGATACATTATTGCCCTCAAGTTGCATTATAGGTGACTTAAGTGTGTAAATGAGATTTACACGCAAGAGATTTGGGCTCACCGGTTTCTTACACCTTGGCATTGTTCACAGTCAGTGATAAAAGTTGGGCACTTTTATCTGTAAGACTGTAACACACTTTACCTCTATAAGATATGATGGTTTGTCTCGACCATTAGGGTAGGCAGTGTGTTAGTGTGCTTGGAGTACACTGAACTGGATCACCATAAGATCACACCATAAAAATTACTGTTATTATTTTGGTGTGATTCTTATCTACTAAATACATTAAGCTCTAAATCCTGAGAGGTTTAGTGGACTCAAGTTTCAGTATTGGTCACTTTGACTTACCAACATGTGAGATCTTTTAAGGTCAATACCATGGTATCTTGGGTGACTAATATTGGAGCTCTGGGAACACAAATGCTCAACATGAAATCCACACTCTTTATAAGAGTTAGAATATCCCCTTGATGCAATTTAATAAGTTTGATCACTGGAACCTGGCCAGGGCATTTTAGTAAAATGTTTACTAAATTATTTATTTAAAAAATTATTTATTTTGAAAATTATTTTATAAAAGAAATTCAGTGATCATAAGGATTAAATTGGTTACTCAAGGAATATAAGAAGTAAGCATGCCTTAAGTGGGACAGTATTTATTTTCCTTGGGGCTACTTATGGATATTCGGTATTAGAGGGACTTAGTTATAGTTATTTAGTATGAAAGGGACTTGTTGTAATTTCTGAATCCTAGAGTGCAATTACAATATTATTGTGGTGCTTATTGTAATTAATTAGATAGGATAAAGTTATGGAATAACTCTCTATCTAATTAGATATGATAGAGTTGTGGGATAACTCTATTTCTATCTAAATGGAGCTAGGATAAGAATTCCTTTTTGATCCTCATCTCTAGCCCCAACTATATACACGATATATCTCTCTTATTCGGGTAGACATACTATCTGACATAATACAGAATAATGAGAGTAAGAGATATAGGGTTTCCACAAACCTGTGTATTCTGGGGATATAGAGGTGAAGGTTTACTGGTGTTCAAGGCCAAAGGAGAACCAATCTAATTCATTGTAATTCTCGGAGTGTTTACGATTAATCAATCGTCCAAAGGTATGAGATCTCTTTACAATATTAATAAATTTGATGAAATATCACGTGGATGTAATATCACTGTTATTCTCGGAGTGTTGATGTAATTTTATTACCTTGAAATGATTTTAAAATATATATTTTTTAAAATCATTTCAAGGTAATAAAATTACCTTTTGTAATGGTGGCTCCACAATTGACAATCAGATTATTAATTATCACTGTTATTATATATTAATTCCTTGCCAATGCATCACACCCATCACATGGGTGTGTAAGATCACATCCAATATTATTATCGCTTCTGTTGTGCCTTCAATCACAACCCAATTATGCTTTCAGTCAAAATGTTGGACACCTATTCGTAGAAAGAAGTGTGATTACGAATAGGTGTGATAAGCACATATTATACTCAACTCTTATGTTAAATTAATCCAATAACAAAGTATAATGCACCAGTTTAGGAATAATCTTCAAAATTAACAAATCAATATCATGATATTCTGCATTCTAATAACAGAAAATCAAAAACCAAAATTTGAAAATAAAAATATGGCAAAAAGATTGAATATATCCTTCACGGATTATATAAATTGTATTTCTATGTGAAACAAAACATCCACTTTCTCAATGTTGTGGGCTAAATCAAAATATATCAACCAACATCAACTGTTGTTTAATTCAATTTTAGTTAACTAACAATATTTCTTTAGACAATTGACTAATTAAGGCATAGAAAATCCTATTTGGGTAATTAATAAAAAAAAAAATTACCAATTTATTTCTGAACAATTCACCACTCAGTACCCTATCTCTTCTTTTGACCAATTTACTAATCCTATTTGAGAATCTACTAGTGGAAGCAGAGCGTGAGGCAAGTATTTTAATTTTCAAGAAGTAACTTTAGAGCTTTACCCTATATTAAGTACTTTTGCTTGTCAAAGTTCTTGTTATGATTTTTTTTTTAAGTTTTGAAAAGATTTCCATATTAAAAAAGCTTGGCATGTTGATAAAAA